TAAGCAAAACAAGTTGTATAAATATTGTGTTGTAAGAAGCCCAAAGCCTTCCATATCGTGACATATTTCTAAAACCTTTATATGAAAACTGAAAGGTAGTGGAAAGTTACCTTTCCGCTTGTCAACAATGACAAAAGGAAATATATTTCCTGTAATTTCATTAATGAATAGTAATTAATTGGGAGAAGGAAGCTCCCCAGTTTAATTTCCTAGCCAACTATTTAGAAGGATGAGGTAAAGAGTGGAGTCAAGGATCCTGGAGACTTTATGCCAATCAGCCCAGACAGACAAATATTGTGCTACATGTCAATATTCCCTGTTCTTGAAAGATTCTCATGACAAGGAGGAGGTAAACCTAGAGCAGTGACTCATAAAGAGAAGCAACAAACAGCTGCTTCTGTGATTTGCGTAACTACTGTTTCCCTAGGTCTAGAGTGACTGAATTATCTACTAGATACAGAAATTACTGACTCCCAGGAGAAGCAGGTGATTATTCTAAGTGCAGCCAGCTCCCTGGATGGACATTCTGAATGCAAAGGAGTTTCTGAAATATTTGTTCCTCATGCCATGTTCAGTTTCCTAGAAGTGCTTATCTGGTTTAATTTACGTAAACTGCATTTTGATGCTTTTTGGGGGAAATGGGTTGTCAGTATTATTTAGTTACTGTCTAAAACTGACAAAACTGTCAGTTAAAATTGGTCAATGGCATGTATCAACAAGTTAGTACAGGATCCTAAAAACACAATAGAAATACAGTGACAATATCAAACTAGGAATTAACATAAAGCACCATCAATAAATTTAGGAGCTATACAGAACAAAGAAGCGATTGGCTAAATAATCTAGAAAATATTACAATGTTAATCTTCAGTGTGCTTTTTGTTTCCCCTCCTTCCCCTACATCTAAGGGAACACAAAGCCTAGCAACACTGTCCCTGGAATTCCCCATCACATGTGCAAGTGGGAAATATGCAATACCGTACTGTATTACTCTTCTAGATCATTTCTGCTTTTGTTTTTTCTGATGTCCTCACTTCCAGTAAACAAAGCAACTTCTTTTCTCCTTAGAGTGGATCTGGAGAAAGTCAATTGAAAAGGTAATAAAATGTGCAGCAACTCATCCTCCTTAAGGAATAAAATCTGAAGTCGAGATAGCAATATGTGAGCAGGAAGAAGACAATACACTGGTAAATAACTGATGGGCTCATAGATGTAAGTTGGTGCATGTTAGGAAATGTTATTCACTCTCATGCTGGAAGTGCAAAATTATTTAGAGAAATTGACCTTGGCAGCTTTTTTTTAAAAAAAACTATAGAAGTAACCTAAAATTGCTGCATACCTGGCTTTACACAGATTATGATAGAACCACCACCACCCATCACTTTTTATAACTCCTTGAACAGGTTACAACATAGCAAATGTTACAAATAAGAACACAAAAAGCAGTACCGGTAATTAAAATATTAAATGATCAACAGAAGTGAACCTATGTAAAACAGTAATGTAAAAGAAAGATGAAAAACATTACAGTGTAAAGCCATAGTGGAGAGTTGGTAGGAATTAACCTAGCATCATCTAAAGGGCAACATGCTCCACACTCCTGAACTCATGAGAAGCATAAAGGTGGCCTTGCTGCATCTTTAGTATGACATAGCATGAACATTCTCCCCTGCTCTGTTCATCATTTATTTATTTATGATATTTCTATCTTGCCTTCCTCTAACCCAAAGGTGACTCAAGGCAGCTTACAGCAATTTGATGTCTGACAATATACAATTAAGCAAATTAAAAATGCATTCAATAAAACCTTTAAAAACATAAAACCAATGTCTTGGTAGTCTCATTGCTTAAAAATCGTTATCTGAGCCGTTCCAATGTTCACTTTCGTCTAATACCATGTTTGACTGTTGCATTAGATTCCGAAATCTTGTTCAAATAACCATGTTTTCACTTTTTTCTGGAAGATCAAGAGGGAGGGGGGTGATCAAATATCCCTGGGGAGGTATTTCCACAACCAAGGGGCCACCACTGAGAAGGCCCTGTCTCTCATCCCCGCCAGTCATGCCTGTGAAGAAGGCAGGACCAAAAGCTGGGCCTCCCCGGACGATCTTAAATTTTTAGATGGTTCATAGGGAGAGATACGTTTGGACAGGTAAGCTGGGCCTGAACCGTTTAGAGCTCTGTAGGCTAAAACATGCACTTTGAATTGTGTCCGGTAGCAAACTGGCAGCTAGTGGAGTTGGTGTAACAGAGGGATTGTGTGCTTCCTCAATGCCGCTCTGGTGAGCAATCTGGCTGCTGTCCGTTGGACCATTTGAAGCTTCCGAACAGTCTTCAAAGGCAACCCTACGTAGAGTGTGTTGCAGTAGTCTATATGGATGTAACCACAGTGTGGACTACCATTGCCAAGTCAAACTTCCCAAGGTACGGGCGCAGCTGTCATACACCCACTACTTTATCACACACCCGTTAAGTCAGTTTCACAACAAAACTTACATAATTGCATACTTGCCACATGGTTTCTTGCAGATTCCCTTGAAGAATTTGCAAGAAATCATGGCCATTAGAAGAAATGGTTGGGCCTTGTTTTTGGAAATTATTTTCATGGTTTCATAATCTTCATGTGGTTTCATGATGTGTAATCAGAAGGATTATAGCAATATCTGGACAAGAAAATCTCACATTGCTTCAAGACTCACCACCAGTGCATGAACTATAAACCTAATAATGTCTACATGTAATTAGCTAGGAATGTGCTCTAATGTCTTGAGATGAGCTCTCCGTCAGCGAATCATTATTTAACAGTGACCAGTGATACAAAAACCCATGACAAAGGCATTTCTACTGAAGAATTTACACTTACCAGCATTTAAAGAGACAAGCAAACACCCAGCCCACAGTCTCCTGTATTTCACTACATTGATATTAAACTGACGTGTATACATGTGACTGAGAATGTTCCACAAACACACATCTAACAATTCTTGGAGGAGTAGGGCTCCCCTGGTGTCTATTTATTTCAGGTCCAGATCTGTTTCAGAAGATGAAACCAAATTGTGGATCAATGCATCAAAATGTGCTTCTTGGAGCAAGAAATGAAGATTTCCTACCTGAAAAAAATCAATATGTAACTTTGGCTACAATTCTCCATTTTCTGGGAAAATGTCCCAAGTGACAGTGGAGTGACTGAGGATGTGTTGAGTCAGACTTGCAGCTAATACAAATTCCCTTTAATTGGTTTCAGTAGGAGGAAAGTGTAAGAAAAGAAAGAAAGGAACAAAAAATACACTTTACTGGGAGAGCAGTTAAAATGGCTTAATCTTACTTCTACCTTACTGGGGTCATGCTGGCAAAGGTTTGATTTTATGAGATTCCAACATCAACAATGGGAGATGGTTCTACACTGCCATATAATCCAGTTTCAGTATGTAGATTAACTACTTTGAACTGGATTATATGAGTCTACACTGCCATATAATCCAGTTCAATGCAGTTTATCTGTGGGGACATGAGAGAAGCCTCCCACAAAGATAGTGAAAAATCAAACATCTGGGAGTCTCCTGGGCAACATCCTTGCAGACAGCCAATTCTCTCACACCAGAAGCAACTTGCAGTTTCTCAAGTTGCTCCTGACAGGAAAAAAATTTAAGCTGCATTCAGAAACTGCATTATATAGCAGTGTAGATGAGGCTTTGGTTAAGATTTTCTTTTTCATATCATCCTTCTGCATGAACTGTATACCATATAGACCCTCTTCCAGCATCCATAGAATGAAACCACTCTATTTCCATCGTGCTCCATAGTAAAGCATTAACTATTTTCCCCCCACTGGACTGTGCCTGGTTAGGATAGTAGACCACATCCAGTACCATGAAACCTTGCTCAAACTCTAGCAAACTTCAAAGTGCACTAGTACCTCCAAGCATCAAGGTCACATTGCTACCACCCTAAAATTTAATCACACTTCTAGATATGCCCTGCCATCAGGTACTTTAACTACTTCTCAGTTTCCATCCCAGTTCCTGCTCTTTAATAACTTCATAATCTCTGTTCTGACTTAATTGCCTCTCTCTTTTCAGCTGCTGCTTCTGACAGAGCTGTGGCTACAATGATGACCCTGTCTGTAAATTGCCTTCAGAGAAAAAGCTAAGCTTCCTGAATTAGAAAAAAGGGCTTGTCTACATCATTGTTGCAAATCTGGAACTGGTTGCTAAGCTGTGTTTTCCCTTCTCAGGGCATTACAGGAGAAGTATATCTCAAGTTTAGTGGAAAGGCCAAAAGTCTACTTCCCATCTGAGGGAAAACCCAGCAAAACGTAGTGTGAAAGTTCAGTTATGATCAAAGTTTGCATAATCAAAAAAATTCCAAGTACAGTTTATGTCACACAGTGTGAGAGAGATAAGTCAGCGCAACAGCACTGGAGCCCCCGGTGGTGCAGTGGGTTAAATCCTTGTGCTGGCAGGACTCAAGACTGACAGGTCAGTGGTTCGAATCCGGGGAGAGCATGGATGAGCTCCCTCTGTCAGCTCCAGCTCCCCATGCAGGAACATGAAAGAAGCCTCCCACAAGGATGAAAAAAAATCAAAAACATCCAGGCATCCCCTGGCCAACGTCCTTGCAGACAGCCAGTTCTCTCACACCAGAAGTGACTTGCAGTTTCTCAAGTCACTCCTGACCAAAAAAAAAAAAAGCATGCTCAACAGCAATGTTAACCAACAAGTCAACAATAGAACCGCCCACCCAGAATAGTAAAGCTGGTTATTATGGCAATGGGGATATAACTAACGATATCTTAAAAGTGAAAAGGAAAAGGAAAAGGAAAACTGACAGCCTGATTTAAATCAGCGGTGGAAACATGCAAAAACATGTTTACTCATAACTAAGTTTACATACCTTACTGCCAAATAAATGTAGGTAGAGCTGTAGACTTTGAAAATGAATCCTGTATATACTCCAACATTTCACAGATGACATCTGGGATACTACAGGATACAGTCAAAATGGCAAAAGTTATTAATGAGAAAGTACAGCCTAGCATATCCCTGGTTGTACTGATCCATTTAGTCAAGTGGGGCTTGACGAATCCAAGGCTGGAGTTAAAATTGCTGGAAGAAACATTAACAACCTTAGATATGCAGATGATACCACTTTGATGGCCGAAAGCAAGGAGGAGCTGAGGAGCCTTATAACTAAAGCAAAAGAAGAAAGTGCAAAAACTGGGTTGCAGTTAAACTGGGGAACTTTCTTTTTTGGGTACAAATTCCAAATGCCTCATTCAGCATGGAGTGTAAAAAAAGTAATTTTGTAAGGCATTGGGCCAGTTAGGCAGTTGACTTTGGTACTAGGATTAAAAGGGCATCAAAATAAGCTTGATGGTTTGGTCTTGAAGACACTCTAGAACTGCGGTTCTCTACCTTCCTAATGCCGCCACCCCTTAATACATTTCTTCATGCTGTGTTGACCCCCCAACCATAAAATTATTTTTGTTGCTACTTCATAATTGTAATTTTGCTACCGTTATGAATCATAATGTAAATATCTGATATGCAGGATGTATTTTCATTCACTGGACCAAATTTGGCACAAATACCCGATACACCCAAATTTGAATGCTGGTGGGGTTGGGGGTGGGATTGATTTTGTCATTTGGGAGTTGTAATTGCTGGGATTTATAGTTCACCTACAATCAAAGAGCATTCTGAACTCCACCACGAGGGAATTGAACCATACTTGGCACATAGAACTCCCTTGAACAAGAAAAAATACTGGAAGGGTTTGGTAGGCATTGACCTTGAGCGTTGGAGTTGTAGTTCACCTACATCTAGAGATCACTGTGGACTCAAACAATGGTGGATCTGGACTAAACTTTGTACGAATCCTTAATTTGCCCAAATGTAAACACTGGTGGAGTTTGGGGAAAAACAGATCTTGACATTTGGGAATTGCCGTTTCTGGGATTTATAGTTCACCTACCATCAAAGAGCATTCTGAACCCCACCAATGATAGAATTGGACCAAACTTCCCACACATAACCCCCATTACCAACAGAAAATACTGTGTTTTCTGATGGTCTTTGGTGACCCCTCTGACACACCCTCATGACCCCCCAGGGGTCCTGATCCTCAGGTTGAGAAATGCAGATCTAGAAGAAAAATAAAATAAAAACAATTAACAGTGCAATTTTAAGAATCAATGTATTTTACACCTTAGTGATGGTTCATCTTAGGGTTCCCATAAATGACTTGGGGCTGGATCCAAATTCAGGCATGTGCAACTGGGCTTGAGAAAATGGATTTCATTGTCCTCCCTGTCCTGCTTAAAATACTGAACCCATTAGTGCTCCAGATGGGAGAAAACTTCAGAGTGGGATGGTCCTCATAGTCCCTAAAAATCAAGTAAAATGAACACAGCAGTGCAGTGAGCAGAGGGCACATTTTGATGCATCCCTCAAGAATGGGTCATTTCAGGACCTGAGAGGATACCTTTCCCATTACTTGAGCTTCTTAATAGCACATGCTGGGATTAAGACCTTCTGGTCTGTTCCTGGTAATTTGTTTTTGTTGTTTCATAAAGCTGTCAAAAATGAAATACAACACCCAACCCAAATTTAAAGTTCAGATATTTTTTTGCTGAGCATCAGCTCTGGCCCTGCACTTAGGCAGGGTGCGGCAGCTTTCCTAGATGGAACATTTTGTTTATTCTGGAAGGGTGGCTCATTTCTTCATGATTTTACTTGATGCTGCTGGATCTTTATTGCTAGAGATGAAAAGAGGTAGCTACGGATTTCCTGCTCCATAGGCAAAAATAATTTACTAGTAGTACTATGCAATTTGACCTGGAGGTGGGGTGGCATTTGCTACTCAATCTCAGGCAGCAAAATGGCTCAATTTCTTCAAACAAAGAACAGCTGTTAAAAAAGAAGGGGTGGGTATGTGAATGATTGGGAGCATGTTTTTTTTGTGGATTGTAGCTGTGTTGGCTTGAAGGTTCTGGTAGAATCAAAGAGTTGGAAGAGACCAGGGGTTATTCAATCCAACCCCCTGCATGTAGAAAAAACACAGTCAAAGCACCCCTGGCAGATGGTCTTCTGGCCTTTGTTTAAAAGACTTCAAAAGAGCTTCCCCCAGACTCCAAGCAAAAACTTCCACTGTTGAACAGCTCTCAGGTTCAGGGAGTTCTTCCTAATGTTTAGGTGGAATCTCCTATCCTGTAATTTGAACCAATTGTTCTTCAGGTCAGCAAAAACAAGCCTACACTCTCTTCCTTATGACATCCTTTTAATTATTTAAACGTGGTAATCATGTCACCTCTCAACTTTCTCCTCTGCAGGCTAAACATACCCAGCTCTTTAAACCATTCCTCATAGCGCATGGTTTTGATCATTTCAGTTGCCCTCCTCTAGACACATTTCAGCCTGTCAATATCCCTCTTGAATTGTGGTGCTGAAATGGACACAGTTTTCCAGGTCAGGTCTAACCAAAGCAGAATAGAGAGGCACCATTGCTTCCCTTGGCCTTTTAATTGCTGCATAACATTGTTGGTTCATGTTCAACTTGTGGTCTACTAAGCTCCAAGATCTTTTGCACATGGACTGTTGTTGGGTGAGGCCTTACCCATCCTGTATCTGAGCATTTCATTTTTTTCTCCCTAAGTGTAGTATCCTACATTTCTCCTTGTTGAAATTCATTTTGTTAGTTTTTGCCCAGCTCTCGAATCTTTTAAAGTCACTATAAATCCCAATCCTGTCCAAGAAAGCATAGGCAAATGCTGATGGTAATGCACTTCAGTACCTCCTAGGACAATGCTTCCCAGCCTTTGGTCTTTTATGTGTTTTGGACTGGTGCTATTTTCTTAGAAATACAACCTAGCAGACCATTTTGTTTGCTTAGTCTATTGATGCTCAAAATGCACACAGCTTTGCCCTAGGTTTTAGTGGTTTCAAAGGTACCTTTGGACTTCAGTTCCCAAAATTCCTGACAATTGCCTAATGGCTCTTCCAGACAGGGCAAAATCTGAGAGGAAGTGGGTTATTTAAACCAACTTCTTCCTGGGTTTGTGTCCCCACCCCCAACCCAAACCCCGGGCTTTTCTTCAGGTGGTGGCTAAATGCCATTCCGGGTCAAACAATGCTTGACTTGGGATGGCATCCAGTTCCCCTTCAGCCCTCTATTTCCCCAAAGAACCCATACCTGAGGGGTCTGCTGGCAATGCAGGCCCCTCTGCAGAGTACTCCTGACAAGTGAAAATGATGTGTCCGGGGGTGGGGGGGGGGTGTAGCTGGGTGGGAGGGAAGTTGGAAAATACAGAACATATTAGGAAAATCCCAGTTTTCTCCAGATTAATTTGCTTTTATCTGAGGTGTAATTTGGATGCCTCAGGAAAAACCAAGACAAGTCCCACATTTTGGGCCTGTCTGGAAGGGTCCTAAGGGTTGTAAGCTGACTGTGGCTTCTGGGAAATGATGCCCCAAACATCTGCAGAAACAAAGGTTGAAAGCCACTATGCTAGAAGACAGGCTCTAGGAGTGCATCTACACCAGTGGTTCCCAACCTGTGGTCCATGGACCACCAGTGGTCTGCAAGAACAAAAATATGGTCTGCTACGGCCTCACCATTACTACACTATTGCTTTGTAACCATGCAGCAATGACAGCGACTGGTCTTCCGAAACCCTCTTATAGTGCTGAGGCAACAGGGATGCCGGGAGTGGAGAGGCTGATTACTCAGAAAAGATTACTACTACCACATCATCCCTAGGTTATTAAATATGGTTTTCTGTGGGCAAGCAGATAGTGACTACTGGATGGCATATGTTTTGTACTGGAAACCTGAGCTGATGTGGTCTATCCAATGCAATTTTCTGAATATGCACCCCAAATAACTAAACCAAATCTAAAGTTGACCAAAAACTGTTTCGTAACCCTTTTGGTACTAATGTTGGAGAGTGGTCCCTGATCAAAGTGGTCCCTGGTCAATCTACTTGATAGATTGTTACGAGTTTTAATTTAATTGTTTATATGCTTAGATTGTTTACATTTTCATGAGATGTGATTTATTGTTTACCTGTGTGGCATCAAATTTTTGCCGAACTTGTAAGCCGCCTTGAGTCCCCTCTCGGGTTGAGAAAGGCGGGGTAGAAATGAAGTAAGTAAATAAATCATAAAGTGGTTCTTGGTCAAAAGAAGGTTGGGAACCACTGATCTACACTGACCAGATAATGTAGTTTGACAGTCCTTTAACTGGAATGGCTCAGGGCTATGAAATTATGGGAGTTGTAGTTTTAGAAAGTTTGCACAAGAGTGCCAGTGTCTCACCAAACTTCAGATCCAAGGATTCCATAGCATTAAGCCATGGCAGATGGAAGTGTTGTCAAGCTACATTGATCAATATACATAGATCAAGATACCCCTGTAGTCAGCCAACTACAAATCCCATGACTCCCTAGCATTGATCAAGATAGATACCCTTGTAGTCAACCAATTACAAATCCCATGACTCCATAGCACTGAGCCATGGTAGTTGAAGTGTGGCAAGCTGCACTCAGCAGTATGTAGATAGATACACCTGGCTGTAGTCAGCCCCTGGCTATGCGCTGATGCTTGGGGCAAAACTTCCAGGAATGTGGGCAGGCACCGGCGTCACCATCCTGGAGAAGTCCCCTCGAGGCACAGTTCTTTCCCAGGCAGCCGGACAGACCTGTCAGCCTTCTCTCTGCCTGCTTCCCATCACCTGCCTCATCCCCTTCGGGGTGGGCGGGGCCATGGAGAAGGGGATCTGCGGCGACCAATGGGCTTCGCGGAGGAGGAGCCGGGGGCGGGGCGAAGCGAGCCTGGCTGGGGACGCGGGAGGGAAAGGGGGTTGGCAGCCCGGTCAAACGCGCCTCTGGGAGCCGAGCCGCAAGAGGTGAGTCCTTGCCTTCGGGTTTCTTCTTCTTCTTCTTCTTTCCTTGCTCTACCTTTCATGGAGATGAGGATGGCTTTCTCTTTGGTTCAAACTTCTGGCTGAGTTAGAAGGGAAGTTTTAGTGGGTAAAGTTCTATGAGTTGCTATTATTATTATTATTATTATTATTATTATTATTATTAGGAGCCCCTCGGTGGCTCAGTGGGTTAAACCACTGAGCTGTTGAACTTGCTGACCAAAAGGTCGGCGGTTTGAATTCAGGGTGAGCTCCCGCTGTTAGCCCCAGCTTCTGCCAACCTAACAGTTTGAAAACATGCAAATGTGAGTAGATCGATAGATACCACTCTGGTGGGAAGTCAATGCCGCTCCATGCAGACATGCCAGCCACATGACCTTGGAGGTGTCTACAGACAATGCCGGCTCTTTGGCTTAATAAATAATAATAATAATAATAATAATAATAATAATAATAATAATAACTTTATTTGTACCCCACCTCCACTTCCCCGAAGGGACTTGGGGCGGCTAACATGGGGCCAAGCCCAAGCAATTACAATAAAGCAAAATAAAATACAAGACGCATGACACCATCAAATAAAAATGTTTATGCAATAACATAATAAGCCAATAGAAATGAGAGATGAGCACCCCCCCCCCCCAGAGTCAAACACAAGTAGACTTAATGTCAAGGGAAAACTTTTACCTTTACCAATTATTATTATTATTATTATTATTATTATTATTATTAGAAACACAAGATGAGTCCACAGCAGACAAGATCATTCTGGTAATTTTGTCAGCGTCGATTGTATTTAAGTGCAGGCCAAGGTCTTTAGGCACTGCACCCAGTGTATTACCACTGGGACCACCTTTTCTGACTTGTGCCAGAGTCTTTGCAGTTCAATCTGTAAATCCTCATATCGTGTCAGCTTTTCCAGTTGTTTCTCTTCAATCCTGCTGTCACCTGGGATTGCAACATCAGCGATCCATACTTAGTTTTTTAACACAATCATGAGGTCAGGAGTATTGTGCTCCAAAACTCTGACATCATCATCATCATCATCATCATCATTATTATTATTATTATTATTATTATTATTATTATTATTTTGATGGGTTGGTTGGGCAATCCTTATCTGGGATTACAAAATCCTCTAACATTGAGACAGTGAGAGCTTTTCTTTCTGGTGGTTCAATGTACAGAAAACTTGGGGTGCATCTTTGCTATAGAACAGGCATGGGCCAACTTGGACCCTCCAGGTTGAGAAACGCTGCTCCAGGTGTTTTGGATTTTAACTTCCACCAGCTTAAGCGGCTGAGGGAGAAAAGGAAAGGGACTGAGGATGGTAGGAATGGTGGGAGTTGAAGTCCAAATACCTGGAGCAGTGTTTCTCAACCTGGGGGTCGGGACCCCTGGGAGGATCCCAAGGGGATATCAGAAGGGTCACCAAAGGCCATCAGAAAATACAGTATTTTCTGTTGGTCATGGGGGTTCTGTGTAGGAAGTTCGGTCCAATTCTATTGTTAGTAGGGTTCAGAATGCTCTTTGATGGTAGGTTAACTATAAATCCCAGCAACTACAATCCCCAAATGTCAAGGTCTGTTTTCCCCCAAACTCCACCAGTGTTCACATTTGGGCATATTAAGTATTCATACAAAGTTTAGTCCAGATCCACCATTGTTTGAGACCACAGTGATCTCTTGATGTAGGTGAACTCCAACTCCAACACACAAGGTCAATGCCCACTAAACCTTCCAGTATTTTTTCTTGTTCATGGGAGTTCTATGTGCCAAGTTTGGTTCAATTTCCTCGTTGGTGTAGTTCAGAATGCTCTGTGATTGTAGGTGAACTATACCCCAGTAACTACAACTCCCAAATGACAAAATCATTCCCCCATCCCCAACTCCACCAGTATTCAAATTTGGGCGTATTGGGTATTTGTGCCAAATTTGGTCCAGTGAATGAAAATACATCCTGCAATATCAGATATTTACATTACGATTCACAACTCTAGCAAAATTACAGTTATGAGGTAGCAAGGAAAATAATTTTCAGGTTGGGGTCAGGTCACCACAACATGAGGAACTGAATTTAAGGGGTCACAGCATTAGAAAGGTTGAGAAACACTGACCTGGAAGGAGGACCCAAGTTGGCCCATGCCTGATTCATATGGTGTCTTGGACTGAAGGCAGCTCACAACATATTAAAATAGCACAGAGTAAACCCAGTAACAAAAGTCATCTGAAGTATAAATATAAGATTTAAAAAAAAAAACATGCTTTACACATTGAAATAATTAAAAATATAAAAATGCCTTAAATCAATTCTATACAAACCCCTTAAATTTTAACACCAGCATCACACAGAATTAAAAGCCCAGTCTTGTTCAATATGCAAAGGCTGGTAACACAACAATTCTTCCACTTGCAGGGATGAGCTGTCTCCCTTGTCACTACCAACTGAGCCTAAGAAGGTAATGGGATAGAGAAGCACTACTGTAGTTGTAATAATGGCTAGAGAGATGTAAAAAGCTCTTCTTTGGGGAATTACATATTTATTTTCAAGTATCAACCTGTATATGTTTTCGCACTGCAGCTGTCATTGTGTCTGCTTTGCTAGGGCTGGTGAGAGTTATAGTGCAACAACATCTGGAAGGGTCACAGCTGCATGCCCTTAAACAAGATAGTGTTTTGTTGACTTAGTAAGAAAGGAGTCCCCAGTGGTGCAATGGGTTAAACCCTTGTGCCAGTAGGACTGCTGACCAAAAGGTTGGCGTTTCGAATCCAGGGAGCAGGGTGAGCTCCCGTCTGTCAGCTTCTCATGTGGGGATATGAGAGAAGCCTCTCACAAGATGGTAAAACATCTGGGCATCCCCTGGGCAACGTCCTTGCAGATGGCCAATTCTCTCACACCAGAAGCGATTTGTAGATTCTCTAGTTGCTCCTCACATACACACACACACACACAAAGCCTCTGATTCTGAGCTGGAACATGGGAAGCATAGGTTCTCATCTTCAAGACAGACGTTGTGCATAACACATTCTCCCCAACACATGCAATTTAGTGTACATGATTTAAACTTCTTTGACCATCTGCAGAGATCTACGTTTTGCCTGGTGATGATGGGAATGAGAGTTCTTCCATTCCTGTCCTCAATAATTTCCACCAAAAACTGTTATGAAAATGCTCTTAACTACGGAAAACCAGTAGATAGTACTAGAAAATAACTGATGAGGAAACAGTGAGCTTGGAAACCAGGAAAGAATACAGACCTGGGAACAGTCAGGTCAAGCTGGAGCTCTATTGGGTTATTTATTTATTTATTTATTTATTTATTTATTTATCTACCATACTTTTACCCTGCCCATCTCACCCTGAAGGGGACTCAGGGCAGCTTTACAAAGGCAACAATTCAATGTTGCATATACATATAGGTAAGGGTTTTCCCTGACATTAAGTCTAGTTATGTCCGACTCGGGGGGGTGGGGGTGGGGGTGTTCATCTCCATTTCTAAGCTAAAGAGCCGGCGTTATGTGTCCAGAATGATTGCATGGAGCACCGTTATCTTCCCGCCAAGGTGGTACCTATTGATCTACTCACATTTTGCATGTTTTCGAACTGCTAGGTTGGCAGAAGCTGGGCCTAACAGTGGAAGCTCACCCTGTCCCACAGATTTGAACCATGAACCTTTTAGTTAGCAAGTTCAGCAGTTCAACCCGCTGCACCATCAGTGGGCCCTTTTATATACATATACATACATATCAATGAATAAACAAATTTATTAAAATCCAAACCAATTAAAACATAAACACTGAAACATCAATTAAAATCACACAATCCAGGACATATTCCAAGGCTGATCCAAGTCATAATTATGTTATTTATAGTCTCTTATTGCACTGCTCCCATTTAATAACCAAAAGCTTGGTGCAAAAGCCATGTTTTTAGTTCAGAGGATTATGAGGGTCAAGGGCTCTATATTGTATTGCTTGATAGGACATCTTGTCGTTTAAAGCCTCTCTTAACCTACAGTGTTAAACTTAACACCTAAATAAAATCAGTGGGTCTTACTTTTCAACAGGTATGCATAATTCCCCACCACCACCATTTTACTTACTGGTAGGTTTCTAAAAAGATACAACTTAAAACCTCCTCCTTACAGCCTCCCCTGCTCCTGTAGTTTCACCCTTGAAAAATACAAATACAATTAAAAAAAATACATTAAACTTGGATATGAGATCATGACTTGGCATTTCATATGGTTTTTAATCTGTTTGGTTGATTAATACGAGTTTTAATTGCTTATATGTTTAGATTGTTATTTTTTTTATTGTTTACTTGTGTGGCATTGATTTTTTGGCAGATTTGTAACTGCCTAGAGTCCTCTCCGGAGTCAAGAAAGTGATGTAGAAATAAGTAAATTTTGTGCTGTAAAAAAAGAGTCATGTACCTACCCCCAATACGTTGTTGAACCAGAATAATGAAAATAGTGGTGAGAGTAGCAGTCCAGCAGTATATGAAGGGCCACACGATTTCCATTGCAGTGTTAACAGTTTGAAAAACAAATCAATATACAATATAACTTCTTTTCTCCTTAAAAAGAAGTCCACTTTAATGGTTTATGAACTTCCTATTACATAACTAATGGGTTTCCTCTGGTTTTGGCAATTCATTTTATAAATTTGCCATATTTTACATGTATTTGTTTTACTTTACATTGTTTTATTTTACATAATAATAATAATAATAATAATAATAATAATAATAATAATACTTTATTTCTAATCTACCCTCTCTCTCCGAAGGGACTCAGGGCGGCTTCCAAAAGCAAAAGGCAAACATTCAATGCCACATACAATCATAATGACAATAAAATATATGATCCTGATTATGAATGGCCATACAGTATTTGCATGGTAGTGTCTTATACATGTTTGCACAGACATACCATGCATCATGGAAAATGTGATTAGGAAAATTAATTGGAGATACCCTGAGAATTTCCGATCAGTAATAGAAAGAAATTTGTGTTAGGTCCCATGTAGTAACCTGAATTTCATAATGTAGTAATTACCACTCGTGTGTGCCGTCATGAGATTTCTAATCACCTGATATAATATGCCTTATAACGATGGTGTCATGAATACCTAGATAGTGTGGTTATAGAACTCTGAATGTGAAACAGTGTTGTGCTTAGTAATCTTGCCTACATACCTAGCTGTTATGAGTCAACCAGTACTTAACGTGGAAATGTACAGGATATGCCTTATGATTGGCATTTCACTGGCAATGAATGTCAGTTCAGATTTGAGTAAAGCAATAGATGACACTAAAAATAAGAACAACCAGCAGGGTATATGTATGTTCACTTGGTCTTTCAATATACTGGATAAGAATTATATACTGTATCTAAACCTTGTTTTCATACCCTTTCCCCCAGTGTAGTGTTCATATTGGGGATGGGTTTGGGGAGAAGAGAGGAGAAACTTGTCCCACCTCCTTCCCTATATTGCAGAAAGCAAAAAAAAACAAAAAACAAAAACTATGAGCTTCTTGCGTTCCTTCAGTCTTTTGCTGGATGTAAAATTAATCTGAGAGAAAGGTTTTCACTATGAAAATTAATTCCTCCTCAAAGCTATAGTTCTGCATACACATCTGGGAGTAAACTCCTTTAATTTTAGTGGAAACCTGCTTCTGTTTTAAATTAAACACAGTTTAGGAAACCATCCAAACTGTGGCTAATGCTTTTTTTTCATGTCAGAAGTGACTTGAGAGAATTGGCCATCTGCAAAGACGTTGCCCAGGGAACGCCCAGAGGTGTTACCATCCTGTGGGAGGCTTCTCTCATGTCCCCATATGAGAAGCTAGAGCTGGCAGACGGGAGTTCACCCCGCTCCCCATATTCGAACCGCCAACCTTTCAGTCAGCAGTCCTGCAAGGGTTTAACTGATTGCACCACTGGGGGCTCCTGTGGCTAATGCTAACTGGTTTATCGAAACAATCTCGTTTTGTAACCTATATTGGCTAGTTTCAGATAAGGCACAGTTGAAATAGCCACAGTTTGCTAAATCCAGATATTTTCGCAAGTAAAATATGTTAAAATGGAAAACTTCCAAACTCATCATCAGAAAAGGAGTGATGTGAGGGAACCATGCAAGCATGAATAGAGGCTAGGTTCAATCCTGTCATGATTATCCATAATTTAATACAAAAACACAACAATTTTATTGAAAATGAGAATTTCAGTGTGCCTAGATGCAAACACTGCTTCTCCCTTGATTCACTGAGATTTATTATCTAGCATCTGTCAACAGAGAATAGTGGCATTGCTGATGTTCAAATGACCATGCTTTTTTCATGCTGTATGTGAAAGTGAAATAAAAAAAAGGATGTGCGGTTGGTGACTATTATTGGGAAATCTGAGAATTAGGCAGATACCAAGGACAGTTTCACACAAGAGAGCAGAAGTGATACTTTTGTCTTTGCTGCATAATTTCAGACTTCAGATATTTTGGAAATTTGAAACATGTCCAGAAAAACTCACACCACAAGGAAACGTGTAGACTAGAATTCTTTTCCATGATGCCCAGTGTTTTTTATTTCACTCTGGCAGGACATTCAATCATATGAGCCATCATCTTACCTGTAATCCCAAATGGTAATCTTGACATTAGGATAAATCTTTTGCTGTTGTTCCAACTAGGTTCATAGCATAAGTTTGACAATCCCATCTCCCACTATAGACTAACTAGAACACTACGGTCATCGGAGGAGACCCTCCTCTTGGTTCCACCCCCATCCCAAGCATGGCTCATGGGAATGAGAGGAAAAGGCCTTCTCTGTGTTTATATGTTGGGTTGTTTAAATTTTGTTCATATGGATGTATTTTTGTTGTATTCGGGCATTGAATGTTTGCCTTTTATGTTTGGAATCCAACCCGAGTTCCTTCGGGGAGACAGAGCGACATATAAATAAAGTATTATTATTATTATTATTATTATTAGTTCACACAAATGCATATTTAATTATCTGCTGCTATATAAATGCATTTCAACACTTTCTACAAGGGGTTCACAGATATGGTATAACTGGAATGGAAACCATGGCTTCCTCCGACATTAATGAGCTGCAGTTAACTTGTAGCTCTTGGGCTGCCATATTTCCTTTCCACGTAGCATATTACAAAACAAGAGTTAAAAATTAGACTGGCCAAAGCTTCCCATGATTTCTTGACCTATGATAGTTTGGTTTAGATAGAAAAACAAACAATACATTAAATCACCAGCTGCCGTACGAGGGGATATGTTCCTAGACTTTAAATGGATACGTGAAAGCATGCATAATAGCAAAGCTTATTGAAATGGGCTTTTGGCCCAAGAATATTGAGGAGCTAAAAAATGTCTAGAGAAAGCATATTTTGTGAGACACTGGAAAGGGGGGTGGGGTGTCTTATTGATAGGGGGTGGGCATTGTAGCATGAGCCAGAAGAACCTAATGAAGCCATATAGGAAAAAGAAATGTGCAACAGAGGGAAGTAAAATTTCTTCTTATCCAAGTGCCCTCCCAATCATTATTGGTAATAAGCCTCCAGAGTTTAGTCAAATAATCCTAGCCACCCCCTTCTGGTTTAAGAACTTTATTATAATATAATCATAATCATACTTCCTTTGTAACCTACCCTATCTCCTTATTAAGAAGAAAAAAAGGTTTGTTTTTCCCCATAAAGCTAGGTCCTGTGGCTATTAATACTGTGGCTCTCCCCTTTTACCAATTGAATTATGATGCTTTGATTTTATTTGGATGTTTTGAATTTTTCAGATTCAAAGTGTGTAATATGAGAAATACGATTAAAAATAGATGAAGCATTTCAAGCCCTTCCTGTCTGAGGCAGTTTACTAAACAGGAATGTCAAGATTTTTTTGGTTACAGTTTTATTACAACGTTTTCTACATCAGCTTCTACTATAACTTCTGAGATCCTTAATTTATTTTGGTTCAGGAATCTTCAGAATTGTAGTTCAAAAAGTAACTTTTTAAGTTTCTAAAAGGTACTTATAGTTATTGTTCACATTTTCATGTAGGGAAATATGTATTTATTAAAATTTGAAGGGTAGATTAACAGTGATATCCCACCATGACCATACCATTACACAAGTGAATTAAATGTACTGTATCTGAAGTATGCACTTTTATACACATCTTTCTCCCTCTCCCACTTTAATGAATAAAGGATACTCACCTGTGCCATATGATTTTAGTGAGCAGAAAAGTTGAGATGTTTAAGGAGATTTAGCAATATAAAAATAGCAAAACAAAAATCCAACCCAAAATGAAAAAGATCTTAAATAATTTTGATGTCATTAATATTTTTCACAGATGTGCCTTTAAACTAGGCATGGGCAAACTTCGGCCTTCCAGGTGTTTTGGACTTCAACAATAGGCTGTTAGTAATTATGGGAGTTGAAGTCCAAATCACCTGGAGGGCCAAAGTTTGCCCATACCTTCTTTAAACCATAGTCATACTGGAAATAGTGCTTCTGAGTTAAGGCATCATTTAAATCACTGGGTGAAAAACATTTAAGTTTAGATACTAATCAGAACTTCAGTTTCTTCTTTATTTGAATTAAGATATCTGTTTTACGGGGGAAATCATGATATAACTATTTCCTCTTTGTTTTTGTAATAACATCGTTAAATACAGGATTTTGAATCATAACATGAGCTTTACAGTGTGCAGTAATGTATCAGGAACATTATTATGCTCAGATATAGAAGTTTCAGAAATGATATTTGGAATACAAATCTTGCTAACTTGTTCAAACCTACTTAGATTAGGTAAAAGAAGTTTGCTGTTTTCATTTATTTCTCTTTTCTTTTCCCAGAGGCAAAAATGAGAGACCGACTCTTTGAACTTTACGAGCAAGCTAGGTTTTACAACCAACATTCTTCTACAGCTGTGGACAATGTGCAATCCTCACACGAAAATCTACTATTTGAGACGGATTATGCCTTAGCAAGTCTTTACAAAGACATTCAAGGAATCCGAACAAACAATCACCATCTGAAGGAAGATGTCAGGAGGCTGGGTAAACAAAATACTCGCTTCCTAACATCTATGCGCCGCTTCAGCAGCATAAAACGTGATGCAAACTCAATAGCTAAAGACATCAAAGCCCGTGGTGAAGATATCCATAGACGACTGCAGGTCTTGAGAGATTTCAGTGAAGATGCAGAAACCAAATATGGTTCAAATTCAATCATCACCCGCGTGTCAAAGGATCACTACGTAGATCTTATGCATGCATTTCAGGAAGCCATGTTTGAATACAACAAGATTGAAATGAACCAGCGGGAAAACTGCAAGGTGAGGATCCAGCGGCAGCTAGAGATCATGGGCAAGGATGTCTCTGGGAACCAGATCGAGGACATCATTGAGCAAGGCAGGTGGGATGTTTTCTCTGAGAACCTTCTGTCTGATGCAAAGGGAGCTCGCTCAGCCATGAATGAGATAGAGACACGGCATAAAGAGCTGATGAAGCTGGAGTCTCGGATAAAAGAAGTCCACGAACTCTTTATGCAGGTAGCCTTGCTTGTAGAAGAACAAGCTGACACCTTTGATATTATCGAACTCAATGTGCAAAAGGTTGAAGATTTTGTTGGAGACGCTAAAGGGGAAGTGAGGAGAGCTCTTGAGTACAGGCGGAAACATCCTTGCCGAACAATCCTATGCTGTTGTTTATCGTGCCTGAAATGTTGACTTTTCTTCTTTAAGACAATAAGATCAGTGTAATAGGGCACATTATATTACACTTACAGCTTGCGTCAATTTCATTTCTTTTGTTGACTTAATTAAACCTATCCGTTTATACCAAAAGCAAAAGCACATAGGAAGTGATGATCTGCTTCAGAGTAACAGAAGGTAAAATTTGCCTCCCGGCCCACATTGCTAGCACGGTTTCAGACACAGTGGTGTTATATACAAAATCTTGGGAATATAGATGAAATGAGTAATAAATTGTTTACAAATTAGCACTTTCAGAGCAAAGAAAAATAAGATATCATGAAGTTAATAATTTGACCTGGAAAAAAGTGAATTTTAGATCCATAAATTGATGCAGTCTGGATACTGCAGTCAGGGCAACTATCCTCAGATTTTTGATATAATTGTGTTGTAACTATAAAAATACTTACAGTATATTCTGGCGTATAAGACTACTTTTTAACCCAAGAAAATCTTCTCAAAAGTCAGGGGTCGTCTTATACGCGGGTGTAGTCTTATGCATGGGAGTCGTCTTAACTCTATATTTTAACTAGAAAAGTTGGGGGTCGTCTTATACGCCCAGTCGTCTTATATGCCGGAATATACGGTATTTTTATAAATGTACTGATGTTTCTATGTGTTGTATTAAGTAAAGAGACAGGAGTATCGGTTCTCTGTGTACTATATGAAAAAAGTTGTTGAACTTTATAATCTGTCCAATAGTTCTAGCCATCATGATAACTGTGCAAATGCTTATAATTAAAATGCCATAGCTCAAAAGCAGCAGCCTATTCATCTAAGAACACAAGCTTATGAAGTGAGGATGAGCTGAAGACTTAGCACTAGCATCTGAAAAGCCATGGCAAAGTGTGAACCTAAGAAACAAAAAAGTGGTAGATAGTAAGATGTTTGTAGAGAACTATGAACCAAATACCCCTCAACTACTACTTGGAAGCCTGAAGAAAGTAGGCGGGAGACAAAGGAAATAGAAAATCATCAATTAAGCCCCATGGTGTTCTGATCTGTGGCAAATATCCTTTACCATATATTAACATATCATGAACAGAAATAAATTTCCAGAGAAAATGTAGCTTGTTTCAACCATGCTATTATTTTATTTAGTGATGATCAAAGCAGGGACATTTGAAAGCAAATTCTGCTGTCACTTCACTGTATACCTGTTGACTTCACAAAGGATGAATTTCTATTGCACATCTGGTAACTTCAGTATTAAACTGGTGCTTTAGATATGTGGTTTATTTCTGAAAATATGTAAATAATAAACTTGCACTGTTTTATAATTTTACTGCAAATCCAGTTTCCAAACATTGAAAGTTTTTATATTTATACTGGTGTTTTTATTTTTAATAAACACGCAGCACTTCACACTTACCTCCATGGTCACAATTTTTGTCTGGTACCAAATATTGAAACGATTTTTAAAGTGGTTAGTTTTGTTTAACACTTTGTTGAATGCTGCTTATGTTTCGCTTCTAATCCAATTGAAATGAAGTATAAAACATAATAAAAACATACATGTATGCTAAATCTGAGAGTATAATGAGTGTGTGGCCCTCCATGCCACCTAAAAACTGACCCCAGAAGTACTTCCCAGCTATTCTGGGCTTGTTTTGGAGCACGTGGTGATGAAGGGATACTTAGGGTCCTTCCACACAGCCATATAACCCACAATATCAAGGCAGATAATCCACAATATCAGTTTTGAATCGGGTTATCTGAGTCCATACTGCCATATATTCCGGTTCAAAGCAGATAACATGGGATTTTATATGGCTGTGTGGAAAGGTCCTAAGAAAGGGAGTGATTCTACTTCCTGGTTCTGTCAAATTCCATTTCCCAATGGAAATCTATTACTGGATCTTAACCAAAGTCATCAATGTCCTAGGAAGATCTAGAATGCCGGAATTCTATCTGAACTTGTATCCTGCATTGTACTAAGTGTAAAAGTGAGCTATAAAATGATATAGTGAATATGTATTGTGTTCTGATGGACTCAACTACCAGCTATATCTATGCATTTCAAAATAATGCCTCTTTTACTCAGGAGAAGCGCCATAAGAAGCTCTATGTCTGTGAAGACTGTATTTCTTATCCATGCTCTTTAGATCTCCCGAGATAAGAAAAAGTCAGAAGTATAGAAGGTGGTTACAAATGAATGATTGTCTTGTACAGGCTGTCCATGCATCAATGAGATAAATGATAATTTTATACTAAATGTCTCAGAATCTTTAAAAGATGGAAAACAGTAAAATTTAAGATTTCATCAAAGATTGAATAAGTATATAAATAGAAATACATAAGAACCTGTTTAGGATCTGATCCCAAATTTTAATGGTTTCATGATAAAAGCAAGGCAGAATCAATACACTTCTGCATTTCCAAATCACTTTGCAGATGGATGGAATCAAAACAGAATTACAAGATACCAAATTTAGACTGGTTCAAAAATTGAAACCTGCTGTAAACTAAAATTATGCTTAAGGTCTTTTGGAAACAGTCTCTAAGGACAAAAACCCCTTTATTTATTTTAGTCTTATAGTTATAGGCTGAACTACTGTTCAAGATTTTTATCAGCAATAGTTTTTCTTGAAATTAAATGACCAAAATGCAAACAGTCCTATATTTGAGTCCCAGGTTGAGCCGTTTGATTAGCTATCATAGCACTTTAGGTCATTTCTAAACGGTTCTTCACTTCCTTAACAAAACCACAGTTTTGCCAGGAAACACATTACACCACATCTTGTTACTATTACCAGCCTTCAAATAGAAAAACATGAAAGTATACCAAGAAAACCTTTAATAGCACTCAGGGAAGAATACTTAGAATGAAATTCCAACTTTATTAAGCTTCAATCCCTAAAAAGGAAATATTTCAAAATATAATTGAAATGAGGTACTGTTTAAATTGGCATGGGGGAAAAGCAGCCTGCAGATGTTAGACTCCGACTCTTATGTTTTCTCAGCTTAAGCAATGGTGAAGGTTGTTTCTCAACATCTGGAGAGCAACACTTTATCTCAGACATGGGCAAACTTCAGTCCTTCGGGTGTTTTGGACTTCAACAATTCCTTTTTTCAATAGCCTCAAGGTTTTTTTTTTATATATATATATATATATATATATATATATATATATATATATATATATATATATATAATTGTAGACACAAGTAGAGTAATGCAAATCTCAATAATGAAATTCCACTTGCATTTTCACTCAATATAATGTATCTTATTTACTTAACCTTACTAATCCTAGTTCCATCCTTATCAACCACTTGTGTCCAGCAATTTTTCTTCCTCGCCCCTTTCGCATGCTCCAGAGTCAGTAAACTTTCAGATCTTTATGTTTATGCAGGAAACGGACAAATAAAAAATGTAGTTAATCCACTAGTTTTACAATAAAAAATGTTTTCTGTATAAAACCTCTCTTTCTTTCCTTTCATTCCACAGAGACACAGCAATACCAGGCAGGGTATTGAATGATGTGTTTTCTTGCTGAATCTATGTTCGCAGCAATACTTTTATCTACTATCTCATTCATTCAATATCAGACTGAGCCACAGCGGAGCGGGGTCAGGTTTACCTAGTAGAGATATAATAATTTTATGTACCCCTCCTTTTCTCTCTGGATCCAGACCTAAAGCGGCTCACAACCTTTTAATGTGTTGGTTGTGTTTGTTTACTAACACTCAAGAGGAGTGACTCAACTTTGAAATAGGATTACACTGAAACAATCCTTCCACATTTTGGGTTGTTATCCTTCTCATTCCACAGAATCACAGTAGTAGAGATATGATAATTTTGTGTACGCCCCTTTTCTCCCTGGATCCAGACCTAAAGTGGCTCACAACCTGTTAATGTGTTGCTTGTGCAGGTCGTCACCTATAAAGCCTTGAATGTGACCGCGTCTCCTACCATAAACCTGCATGATCTCTTCGATCTTCTGGAGAGGCCCTCCTTTCGCCCATTCCTCTATCACAGGCATGACTTGTGGGAATGAGGGAGAGAGCCTTCTCCGCTGTGGCCCCTCGGCTTTGGAACTTGCTACCTGGGGAGATTAGGCAAGCCCCCACCCTAGCAGCATTTAAGAAAGATCTAAAAACTTGGCTTTTTTGTGCCTTCAGAGAGTGACCAGTCAACCCATTTTGTTTGTTTCCATCTACAGTTGTCCACACAATGCACTTTCCCCTGTCCTTAATGAAGACCAAACCCCACTGCTCCTCCTTCTTGGGCCCCTCCCTTACAAATACACTTTATTTCCTATCTCACCCAGGGTTTTAATGTTTTAACATTTTATCTTGCACATTTGCCCCCTCTTTGTGTTTTATTTTATTATGTTAATTTTGCACTGTTTATTTTATTTTGTTACATTATGCATTTTGTTGTGTTTGATTTTCTGTTGTTTTTTATCTTATTTTGCTGTTTACTATTTTTGGGCTTGGCCTCATGTTAGCTGCCCCGAGTCCCCTTTGGGGAGATGGTGGCAGGGTATAAATAAAGTTTATTATTATTTGAAACACAACAAGATGAGTCCACAGCAGACACTCTGCTGGCTGTTGTATCGGATCACACATCAGACACTTCCCAAGTGTCTGACTATGTGATGTATTGGCGAATAATGCATGCAGATCCCAGTAAGGTGGCCTTCTGCAGCTGGCAGATGGTAATTTGGTCAGCACTGATTATTTTTAAGTGCAGGCCAAGGTCTTTATGCACTGCACCCAGTGTGCCAATCACCACTGGGACCACCTTGACTGGCTTGTGCCAGAGTCTTTGCAGTTCGATCTTTAAATCCTCATACCATGTAAGCTTTTCCAGTTGTTTGTCTTCAATCCTGCTGTCACCTGGGATTGCAACATCAACAATCCATACTTTGTTTTTTAACATGATCGTGGGGTCAGGAGTATTGTGCTCCAAAACTATGTCTGTCTGAATTTGGAAGTCCCAGAGTAGCTTGACGTGTTAATTCTCTGTAACTTTTTCTGGCTTGTTCTTTGTCACAGTAAGAAGGTATTTGTGGCACAAGTTCCAATTAATCATCTGTGTTGTGCCTCTGCTTGTAGTCTGCCAGCACGATCTTCTTTCAGCAGCTGAGGATGTGATATATTGTTTCATCTGCTTCCTTTCAGAGTCTACACTTGGGATCTGTCATTGACTTTTCAACTCTTTTCAACAATTATTATTATTGGGTTGTTGTAGGTTTTTTTGGGCTATATGGCTATGGTCTAGAGTAAGGGTCCTCAAACTAAGGCCCGGGGGCCGAATACGGCCCTCTAAGGTCATTACCCGGCCCTTGCTCAGGGTCAACCTAAATCTGAAATGACTTGAAAGCACACAACAACAACAACAACAACAATCCTAGTTCATCAGCCAAAAGCAGGCCCACACTTCCCATTGCAATAT